GCCTTGCCAGTATTGTTGTTTTCTTTTTTAATCAGTGCCATTTTTGCAGACGTGGTATGCTATTTCATTGCAGTTTTGATATGCATCTTTCTAATGGCTAGTACTCATGAGCATCTTTTCATGTGCTTGTTGGCCACATGAATGTCTTCTTTGGTGAAGTGTCTGTTCATATCTTTTTCCTGTTTTTCTATTGGGTTGTTTGTCTTTTTGTTTTTGCATTATTGAAGTTTTCTATATATTTTAAAAATTAAGCCATTATCAATTATGTCATTCCTGAATATTTTTTTCCAGTGTAATTTCTCTTTTTACTCTTTTGATGAAGTCTTTTGATGAATGTAAGTATTTAATTTTTAGGAAGTCACAGTTTTAATTTATCTTCTGTTGTTTGTGTATTTATATTATGGTAATTTTGATGCTAGCCTTGGGACAGGTCTTTCCCCTTAACTGCTCATGGGGGGGGGGAAGCAAATAACTATACCTCTTTGATGTTAATGATTATATTTAACATATAACCCACTGCTATCAAGTCAATTCAGACTCATTTCGACCCTATAGGACAGAGTAGACCTGCCTCATAGGGCTTCCAAGGCTGCAAATCTTTATGGAAGCAGACTGCCTCACCTTTCTCCCACACAGCTGACTTTTTGGTTAGCAGCCAAATGCCTTACTATGCCACCAGAGTGCCTGTTTAACATACAGCCCTTATACAACCATCAGTCAATAATAAATTTAATGAATTTATGTTCTCTTCCAACACAATTCTACAGAATTAGAGAGGTTAAGAGGTGACTTCCTTTTTTGACTTGGCTTTGACTGTAATCCTCAGTTGATACTGATTACAATCCTTTGTCCTCTTACTTCTTGCTTTAGAGCATTTCTGCTTTCCTTCATTCTGGAGATGTATTTTCATGCAGCATTTCCTCACTTGGGTATTCTAATGTGTGCCTTGGAAAAGCATCTCTCGCACTTCCAGGAAGGCTTGCTCTCCTCCCCAATATCAAGTTCTGTTTAACTTGGAACTCCTTGTCAAAGGCTGGAGCACAGCAAAGAATCCACTTAGACAATGGTGCTGTGAGTATGATTCGTCCAAAAAAAAAAAAAAAAGAAAGAAAGAAAAGAAAAAGAAACAGCAACATTATGCTAATCTCTAAGTGAATTGAGAGGTAATAGAATGAACCAGAAAAAGTTGTAGACTTAGAGTTAAAGGGTTTGGTTTTTCAATGTCTTCTTAGTAACCAGGACTGAACTACTTGGCATCTGTGACCCCAATTTTTTCACCTGTAAATTAGAAAAGGGAATCTCTAGGTGGTGCAAACAGTTAATGCACTTGCTACTCAATGAATGGTTGGAAGTTTGAGTCCACCCAGAGGTACTTCAGAAGAAAAGCTTGGTGGTGTACTTTAAAAAATCAGCCACTGAAAACGCTAGTTCTACTCTGACACACATGGGTCAACATGGGTTAGGGTCAACCCAACAGCAACTGTTTTTTGTTTGTTTGCTTTAATTAGAAAGAATAATAGCTGCTTTTCCTCCATCACAAAAGATAACGACAACCACACACAAAAAAATTAAACTAAACTCTACTCCCACTGAGTTGATTCCAACTGATAGTGACTCCCATTGGGTTTCCAAAGTGGTAAATCTTCATGGAAGCAGACTGCCTCATCTTTCTTCCACAGAGCAACTGGTGGGTTCAAACCATCAACCTTTTGGTTAGCAGCCAAATGCCTTAACCATTACATCACCAGAACTCCTTTACAAAATAACAGGTAGCACTTATGTAGCATTTAATATGGGTCAGACATGGTTCTCACCATTTAAAATATATTAACTCATTTAATCCCCACAAAACCCACAAGATAGTTATTGTTACTGTATCATCCTCAATTTACCAATGAGGAAACTAATGCAGAGAGAGGGTAAGTTACTTTTCTAGTGTCACACAGCAGTTAAGTGGAGAGCCAGGACATGAAGTCAGTCTTTAGTAGTTTGTGAATTTTACCACCCATTTTTCTAAAATTGCATTTTAAATGCAAATAAATAGTGGCTAAGACACTTGACTATTAACCAGAAGGCTGGCAGTTCAAACTCACCAGCTACTCCTCAGAAAGAAGGTTGGGCAATCTACTTCCGTAGTGATACTGCCTCGGAAACCCAAGGAGGAGTCGCTATGAGTCAGATCTGACTCGATGGCACACAACAACAACAACATGCAATAGTCAAAAAGTACAGTAGTAATAAGCTTTCTCTTTTATACATCTACAATGTGTTTTCTCAATTATTTAGGCCTTTGGAAGTTAATAGATTTGCATACTTAAACTAAGGAGTCATATACTTTAAAAAGTCAGACAAAGGATTTGGGAGTCACTCAAACCTAGCACTGTCTGGTTGTTTGTGGGGCCGCTAGCATGGCTGCTTTAAATGAATGTCATTATCGTCCAACCACGGAGCCCTGGTGGTGCAGTGGTTAAGAGCTCAGCTGCTAACTGAAAGGTTGGGAGATCATACCCACCCAGCAGCTCCATGGAGAAAAATCTGTTAGCTTGATAAAGAAGCTTAGTCAGTGATGAAACACACCAAAGTAGACATGGCGACAATCCAGAAGCCCATTCATTTCAGGTACAGTGACCAAAATATTTAAAGAACAGAGGTTACTTGTACCTCAGTATACTGGTCTTTTATTTTCTACCTTAAGGGAAAAAATAAAACAACAACAACACAAAAACAACAAAAACTGTGATCATTTATCCTATTACAAAACTGAGGCTTATGCTTCACAACTGATGATGCTGGGTAAATGTGCTTTCATTGGGTCTGACATGATCCCAGAAGTTATAAGGCTTCCCCCTCTAAGCAGCTGGGGAATGTTGCATGTACCTCACTGCCAACCCCTATCTACCATTAGAACCACAGGGAAATAAACTCAATGTGCATGATCAGCAGTCTTAGCAACCTGCAAGCTCAACAGGAGGTAGTGGGGCCTCCGCTGCTAAATAAAAGATTGGTGATTGAACGACCCAGCGGCTCTTTGGGAAAAAATCCAGCGATCTGCTCCCTTAAAGATTATAACCAAGAAAGTCCTATGGGCCAATTCTACTCTTTCACATGGGGTCTCTATGGGTCAGAACCTACTTGATGGTACACAACAACAATAATCTTGGATACTAGGATTCAAGAACATGACTCTACTACTACTTGGAACAACTAAGAAGGCTTAGTGGGGCCTATAGACTAGAAACACTGGAGTTAGGGAAGAAAGAGAAATGAGAAGACTCAAGCCTAGGAGAAGATGAGGGGCCACAACTGGAGCTGTAGTTACAGAAAAGAGAGCAGGGCTCCGGAGCAAGGCATACAAGCCCAAAGGAAGCAGCATACCAAGGAATAGATATTGAGACTGAGCTACTGACTAGGATTTCTTAAGAGTGTGATTGGTTCGAGTGTGGGGCAGGCTGCACCAAGACTGAAGCTACATGGCTTCTGTTTCAAGGGGAAAGGGCAACACCCAAAGGAAGCCAAGTTCATCACTACACAGTTGAGTCAAATCAGTTACATTTTGGTTATATTAATCTCCTGATTTTTCACATTTACCTCTTTTACATAAAGATCATGCTAATTCCCTCAATTGGCTAAGGTTTGTATACTTTTTGTTCAAATTATATGCAAGATGCTTGTCTACATATAGTGAAGTGAGCACTTGGAATGGGAGTCGGGGGACCTGAGCTCCACAGTCACATTCTAGCACTAATCAGTTGAGTGGTTTGTAGAATATTGATTAAATTTTCCAGGATCTGGTTTTTTTTTTTTTTTTTTTAAAGTCTACAAGATGAGGGCATTACCTAAGTGATCTCTAAGGGTCCATTCTGTTTGGGCATTTTGTAATTCCATGGACTTATACTGAGGCAGCCTTTGAACTTATGCAGATGAGCAAACAAACTGCATGGTCTCTTTTTCATCCTTGTTGTGTGGAAGCAACATTAAGGCTGTGAGGGCTTTGGTGGATGGTTGAGATTTCTAGAGCCCAGTAGCATAAGGATACATTGTCTGTGAAGAAGTTAAAAACAATAATAAAGTTGACTGAAAAAAGGTAGGCTTTTTATTATCAATATTTGCCAGCAATCTGCAACAATATTGGTGATAAAATATTCCTATCACAAAATATTTTATTGGCTCACTTGTAAACCCTTGCTGCAGTTACTGTTGAGTTTTAATACTTCATGTGTAAGCTTTAAATTAGCATCCTTTTGGTACTTATCCAGAGCCCTGATGGTACAATGGTTGCTAACCAAAAGGTTGGCAGTACGAACCCACCTGGCAGCTCCAGAGGACAAAGACCTGGTGATCTGCTCCCTTAAAAATTATACCCTAGAAAACCTACTCTTCATGGGGTTGCTGTGAGTTGAAACTGACTAGACACATCTCACAACTACCATGGTACTTATCCTTAATAAATGTTGTATTCTACATGGACGTTGTCAGCCACTGACACAAGGAGTCTCCACCACGTGCATTAATTTAGAGAGTTCAAATGGTTCAGAATCCTTTAACTATGCTTCCAACACAGTTTGTGTCTCCATCCCCTTTGATAGTACATGTGCCTGCTTTTAAACAGCAGGTTCAAGATGAACAATGATAGAAAAGAGATTGCAAAGACAAGAAATAGAACTTGAGTGGCTTCAATTCTGTCATTTTGTTTTTGAGATAGAGTATGAACTTAATAGAATAATATTTTTGTTTGTTAAGTGCAAAATCTTAATTCATATGTGAAATATTTTGTTGAATTTGAATAGTATCTTAGAGACTGAAATATATTTCTTTTTAATTATTAATTGTTTTAAAACCAAAGCCTTGATCAAGAAAATAATGGTTATCACATGATTATTACTGAAAATAATTTTGACATATAGAGGAGGAGAGTATTACAACATTATCTGCTCCAGCTGTCAAATACTCTGGGTACGCCATTACCTTAGCCCATTGCTCTCTTCTCACATCTGTACTAGTTATTGGCCAACAGCCTCCGAAGAACAAGCGCCCAAAGGAGCCAGGAGAGAACAAAATCAAGCCTTCCAACAAAAAAGTGAAACCCAAAATTCCTAAAATAAAGGACAGGGACTCACCTGATTCAATGCCAAAGACGCAGTCTATAATGATACAAGTGTTGGATAATGGTCGCTTCCAGAAGCCTGCTGCTACCCTGAGTCTGATGGCTGGGCAAACTGTAGAGCTCCGATGTAAAGGAAATAAGATTGGCTGGAGCTACCCTGCATATCTTGACACCTTTAAGGACTCTCGCCTCAGGTAAGCATTTTTTACTTGTATTGGGTCAAGGGTTTGGTTCTTTGCCTTCATTAAATATCAACTATTTCTAACTCTCTCTTTCATTTTATCCAAGTAGATTCTAAAAATGGAAACTCAATGAGCAAAAGCCATCGGTTTTATTTCTTCACCAAACTAAAAACAATTATTGCAGACCCTGTAAACATTGGTTATAAGAGTCAAATTTTATAAGAAATCATAGAACAAACAATTGAAACAGTAATGCATAGAGATAGATATTTAAAATTTTGTATTGTGAACAATAATAAACTCTTAATATTTAATGTTATTTCTTCAAGTAATCATCATGGATGTGGAAATCACTTAAAAGGAGACTCCTATGACCAGGGACTAACTGTAACTGCTTTTACATTTTTTAAATGTTTCTGATTTTTTTTCAACCTTCCTGACTTTTTGACTTTTATACTCAGAGCCCTCAATTAATTAGAAAACTAAACATTTCTCATGTTTGAATGACTTCCTTCAGGATGCTGGCCTTCTTACTTAGGAGAAGTAGCTAAGGGATGGTTAAGGAACAATTAAACCAAGAAAGGAGGGCATGCTACAGAGGTTCTGGGAGGAGCCGTAAGCACTGGCTGTGTGACTTCTGTGTATCTTTTGGGAAGACCCTTAAACTCTCTGAATCTCTGTTTACATGTGTGTAGATGAAGGGGATTGGTTTACCTAATTTTTAAGTCTTTTCAGCCCCATCTTCCTCTAAGATAGAGAAATACAGGATATTGTCCATTTGTGGGTGTCTCGAATGAGAAAAAAGAAAAATGTGGATCTCAGACATCTCAAATGCAGCTTGTTCATATTCATGTTTCTTCACAAATTCCACCTCTAAAAATCTTCTTCTATCTACAAGACACCACCATGTTCAGCCAGAAACCTGAGTCATCCGTGGTTCCCCCTCTCTCCCTTACTCCCCACACATCCAATTCATCACCAAGCTTAGTCAACTCAGACTTCTAAAGAGGCTTAAATTTATCCTCTTTCCATCTCTGGTGTCACTCACTACTCTTGCTCCGGCCACTGTTGTCTCTCATCTCAAATATCGTAATAATCACACCTAAGCTTATTTTCCTCCAATCTCCTTCTACTGAAGCAAAAATAATGTTTAGATATGCAGATCTGATCATGTCACGCTCCTGCTAGCACTCAGTGGATTTCCACTAGGAATAAAGTACAATATCCCTAATATCTTGGTTGGTATCTCTGCAATTGCTGGTCTGGGCTCCTGGGAGAGTGTCAAGTGTACTAGGCTCTTGGGACCTTTATAGTTAATGCTTTCATTGCCCAAGACCTTAAAACTTGCTGCGTTTATTGCTTAGAATAATCTATCTGCCTCTTCACCTGGCTAACTTCAGCCTAGGCATCACTTTCTCTTGGAATCCTATGTTAGACCTCTTGAGGTGTGCATTCGTACGGCGTCTGGTGCTTCCTCTTTGAAGCATTCTTTACACATATAACTATTTTTTTTTTTAATCTGTGTTTTTTCACTGGGATTTAGTGGAATGCTTAGCATTTAGATTTATCTATGGAAGACTGAATGATAATCATTTTCTCCTTCTCCCAGGTATGCTTGCTTTTCCTTCTCATACATTCATTTTGGATAATAAATATATTAAAATATATGTATACGTTATCTCACTAGCTACCCATCCATCAGTTCTCTTGTATTAAGACTACGTTCACATTTTTATTCTGATTATATACTTATGGCTTCATAGTATATAACAGGGCAGAATTCTTCTTAAGGGGTTGAAAGGGGAATGAAATAATTTTTTCCCATCTCCATCTCCACACTTGAAGTGTGTGTGTGTGTGTGTCCCCTGCTTGTAAAGAATTTGCAAAGATTTACTACCACATACATTTTAAATATCTTAATTTACAAAAGTTTGATTTACATGTGATGTTTTACCAGAATTGATCTAATTTAAATTATTATGAACATTCAATCTAGGATACTTATACAAAGTATCTTAAACCTAGAGGATTTGATGATTGAACATTTAGTATTTTCTAGGAGTGTTTTTAAAGTTATATTAGCCAATGTCTTGGGGGAAAGACATGGCAATCTACTTTAAAAAATTAGCCATTGAAAACTCTATGGAGCACAGTTCTACTGTAATACACATGGGGTTGCCATGAGTTGGGATCAATTCAAGGGCAGGTGTATTAGCCAGTATACTCACTCCTCACGTGTCAACAGGGTTAGGTTCCAAAGACAAGGCCATTATGCAAAATCTGTGTTATGTGAGAGTTGGAGGCCACTCCTTGTCTTTGGTGCTGGTCTCAGGGTGTGCATGGCACAGTGGGTCCCCCTTCCACACCATGACTTCCCCACCAGTGCAGAGCCCATGGGTGTTGGGGAGTGGTGGTAGTAGTGGGGTATTGCCTGCCACCCACTGCCTCCTGCCACCCACCCTAGGTGGTGACCCTGGTTGTCTTCCATTTGACCCAACACCTCAGCCCTGTGTGACCCCCATCCCTCTCCCCTCCCTGTTGCCTTCCCCTACTGGCCTCCACAGCACCTTTGGGCCCTTGCGTAGCCTCCCACTGCCCACCCAGAACCTTACATTATCCCATTACCCTGTGCCCTCCGTGGCTGGACTGAGGCATCGTGGAAAAATGGGAAAAGGCATCCTGAGGCTGGTTGGTCACCATCCCTTGTATAGCTCAGTTGCTGCATGGGGCCTCTGGTATATCATTTGGGGTGGCCCACAGAGAGCACCCCAGGCCTGGCTGTGGCCCCAAGTGGGGCCTGGACCATCAGAAGTGCCACTTTGACAATTTTTTCAAAGTTGTCATCAATGTAGAGTGTCAGATAACAAGATAGTCCATAATTGAGCAGTAGGTGTATATGTTAGAAAACATCTTAAGTACACAAAGTGAAGTAAGCATGAATCCAAATTGAAGGGAACTATCCAGGAGTTGAAAAAAACCAACTTTGACTTTTTAATATTAAATAGTATTCATTAAAAGGGTAGTAAGAGCTTCATAAAACAGTAAAGACAGATGTGAAACCCCAAGGACCTTATAAAAAATGTGGAAAACATCTAGTCATAATTCTATGTCAAACAATGACAACAACAACAAAAATCACAATTTATTTTTACACCAGAGATTCAACAAATGAACTTTTGACATCCTTCCTGGAAGGTGGTCCCTTTGGCTATAGGAGAAGTATTCATCCTGTATTTTCTTTTCCCATGGAGAAGTAGTTCTTTCCAAAGTTATGGCAGCTTTGGGGTGGGAAGCTCTCAGCAAAGCTTCCAATAAAGCCTGGTAGTTTTAACCAATTGTGGGAGTTTTCTTGAACTAAATTCACATGTTGCCACATTTGTCAAAGCTTAATCTTCTGACTACTTCATCTTTTTCTCTTGTATGGAGAGAGGTTCTTGGTCACCAATCTACAAAAGCAGGGGCAATTTCTTAAAAAAACAAAAACAAAAATAAGAGGCCTAGTTGACTTGTAGGGTCCCAGGTAAGTGAAACAGGACCTGGATAGAGAAAATTCTATATACGTTTGTTTTTCCCAAAGTACCTTAAGTACTAGGAATATTGTTGTTGTTGGGTGTCATCGAATTGGTTCTGATTCATAGCAATACTATGTACAACAGAACAAAACACTGCTTGGTCCTGTGGTATCTTCACAATCATTGCTATGTTTGAGCCCATTGTTGCTACCACTGTGTCAGTCTCATTGAGGGTCTTCCTCTTTTTTGCTGGCCCTCTATTTTACCAATCATGATGTTCTTCTCCAGGGACTGGTCCCTCCTAACAACATGTCTGAAGCAAGTAAGACAAAGTCTCACCATACTTGTTTCTAAGGAACATTCTGACTGTACTCTTCCAAGACAGATTTGTTCATTAAATACTTGAATGAATTAATGCATTTGGCTATATTCATCTAGGCATAAAACTTGGTTAAATAATTAAAACATTACATCAAGAAAGGGATATTAATGTTGTTCAAATATAACTTGGTCCCTCTTTCAGATTTGGAAGATGCAGAAATCCATTTCCACCATTGATTTTTCACACTGCTGTTTTAAATTGATACTGCCCCCATTTCTTAGTCTGTAAAATAAAATGGTCTCTAAGAACTCTTCCCACTATGATTCTAGGATTTTAAAAAATGTCTTTTTAAATTAATTAATACAGTAAATGTTAAATATAAACAACTCAAAAAATAAGAAACAAAAACCATCAAATAATTGTTTCACCATAAACATGCCTGGCTTTATAAAGCTTGTTAACTAAATGAATGAGGGTATACAGACAAATATTCACACCTTGCAAGTCAAAATGATTTCACAAAGTAACTTTATTTCAAGTCAAATAACCTCATATAGATTTTTACATAGATCTATTTATAGTTTACCTATTTGTTTTAATTCAACACTCATCTGTCAGTTTGTCATACTGTGATGGCTTGCATGTTGCTGTGAGGCTGGAGGCACAGGCCACCAGTATTTCAAATGTCAACAGGGTCACGCATGGTGGACAGGTATCAGTGGAGCTTCCAGACTAAGAAAAACAAGGAAAAAGGAAGGGGCCATCCACTCCTCAAAGAATTGGCCAGTGCTGATATATTACTGGCAAACTTTATGAATAGCCCTGAAACATTGTCTGATATAGTGCCAGAAGATGAGCCCCTCAGGTTGGAAGGCACTCAAAGTATGACTGGGGAAGAGCTGCCTTCTCAAACTAGAATCAACTTTAATAATGTGCATGGAGTAAAGCTTTCTGGACCTCTATTTGCTGACGGGTCATGACTCAAAATGGGAAAAAAGACCTGCAAACATCTATTTATAATCAGAATGTGGAATGTATAAAGTATGAATCTAGAAAAATTGGAAGTTGTGAAAAATGAAATAGAACTCATAAAGATTGATATCCTAGGTATCAGTGAACTGAAATGGACAAGGTATTGGCTATTTTGAATGTGACAATCATATGGTCTACTATTCTGG